AAAAAAAAAAAAAAAGGGAGCCATGGATTATATACCAAAACACAACACTCATCTCTCCGTCGTCGTTTTGATAAGTAAGTACAGACATTTACTTCTATTCGTGTTTTGCTTTAAAAACTTTCCTTTCCTTTTCTACTACTTTGTGCTGCTGTTGAAATGCTTGGAGGATTTGCCGGCAGCGTGCCACATTAATTGGCTGCTGCGCTTCTGCAGTGTGGAGCTCCTCACAGGGACCACAGGCTGGAGTGTTGTTCCACTTTGGGTTTGATTTTCATGGAGAGCCTGTCTTACGCACACATCCACTCTAAAAAAAAAAAAAAAAAAAAAGGAAAAACGCCATCAGTCGAGGTGTCACACTCTCTTGAGGCACACTGGAGGGATTTTGATTTCCATTAATTAACACTGCAGCATAAGACTTGGCAAGAAATGAAGTCTCATAGCAGTTAGTGGGGCTACACGCTGAATATATATACATCCTACTGTGTGCTGTTGGTGGCAGTGAAGTAATCCAGGTGTTCAATGTTTGATTTGTACATTAAAAAAAGGTCCACTTGTTGGGTAATAAATCCAGATTTCATGTTTATCTGTACCTCTGGTTAACCAGATCTGATTAGGCTTAATGTCCTATGAATGGAGTGTGTGTTTGCGAAGGCATGTCATGTGGAAATTGTCTTGAACTCAGTTGCATCCACTAGAACTGGCTCATTAGCATCGCTGGGACTTCTGATGCAGCACATTAGTTCACCTCCAACATGTCCAGTCTACGTTTGGATCACATGCTGGCGTTGATGGCCAGATATTGGGTTTTAGTTTGATCTGTTGCACTCGCTGCATGTTTTTCCTGAATATTTGCATTAACTCAGCCAATCACCATGAGCCTAAAGAGGGCAGCATATAGCTTACTTCACCTCATCACCAGGTTTTATTTTTTTTTTCCTTTTGCAAGCAAAGGGACCCGTGCAGGAGCCCCTCCCCTCGGCTCTGGTTGTCACGGTTGCTGGATCAGTATAAGTGGCTCTTACTGCAGTCAATCCCAGTGACAGCAGAGTACTGAGGGTGAGCTTTGCCAGAACTCACAGTATTATGTGAGAACCCCTCCTTCCCTCCCTCTCCAGTTGTAAAGCACGTCCAGCTTGCAGCCCACTTGTGAGGAGATTCCCATGTGAGCAAACAGACCTGCTCAGGAACCCAGGAATTATGTTCATACGCTCCTCATTTGTAATCAAGAGAATGCTCCTTTTCTTTGTTGAGTGCATCTGCAGTAGTCACCTAATCGATAACACAAAGGGAGCAACACTCCATGAAGAACAGATGTGTCATTTGCTTTCTTTAGTACAGAACAGTCTGAGCGACACAATAATCCTGCTATAGGAGAAGAAAACGCTCAGGTATGTTTGTATTTCTCTAAACCAGATGTTCTGGTTGTCAGTGTCGTGGCTTTGGTACATTTAGATATAAAAGGGGAAGCACTGTGATTAAAATGAATAATTCACCGCTGCCCAAAGCTGGACATTCGTCAGTGTGGCCTGCTCACAGATCGTTGCTGTTGTTGTTTCCTGTAGTGAAGACAACAGCGGCTCACAGACAGCCGAAGGAAGGACAATGCCAATGTGTTGTGCATTGCTTTATGACATCTGGTGAGTCAGACTAACGCAGATTAATGGCATGTGCCTCGAGGCTGTAGGAGTACTTAGAAGTATCTTAAAGAGATCACAGCACGTCCACAACATGTGACCTCTTGCTGAGAGCCGTTAACTGTCACATAAGTCTTTGTCATGGTAGCTCCAGTGCTCCCTGCTTACCAGCATGGGACTGCCTGGGGTCACTGCAGTGTTAAATACAATCTCCCATCCCATCAAACATTAAGAGGCTCCACCTGTTGGCGCAACCAGGAACTACAGCTAATGTACAAAACATAGCACTTGTTCATGATGTATGTAATTTATTTCCTTACTATATTCTCGTAGGACTGTAATCACCCAACGATTGGTTTGCAGGAAATGAAGCTCTGCATGTCACATCTAGATTAACGGGGCTGCAAGTTGGCTCAGTGGTTAGCACTGTTGCCTCACAGCCAGAAGGTCGCTGGTTCGTGGAGTCTCCATGTTCTCCCCGTGCAGCGTGGGTTCTCTCCGGGTTCTCCGGCTTCCTCCCACAGTCCAGAAACATGCTGAGGTTAATTGGTGATTGTAAATTGTCCGTAGGTGTGAATGTGAGTGTGCTTGGTTGTCTGTCTCTAAGTGTAGCCCTGTGATAGACTGGTTACCTGTCCAGGTGAACCTGCCTTCACCCTGAGTCAGCTGGGATAGACTCCAGCCCCCCATGACCCTGGTGAGGATTAAACGGTGGATAGATAATGAATATCTAGATTAACATAGAAAACAGTGCACTGAGGGCCCTCTGCCTGCTAGCTATTAGCCTAAATGAATTATGAATAAACACACAAAGGTTGTATTTACAAAATCTAAAATAACTTTAACCCCGTAATTGAATACTGAAATTATAACAACAGACTCGAGCTAATTCGGCGTTTATTCATACACTTTATAAAATGTCAACTGTGCATATGTCGTAGCCTCGAGTGCAAAGAATTTAAGAAGAATCCAAATATTCTGATATTTTATATTAAAAAGAAACCCGGTGTTGAGAGGAAGGATTACGGTGAAATAAGAAGGCAAGACATAGGAAGACAAAGGTTCTGCACTGCAGGTTGAAATGTCTGGCAGTGTTTTCAAATTAAATTTATTCAACATGAGCAACCTTTTCTGTCTTTGCTCCATTCTGACATTTATGAAAGTTTATTTGAAAGTACGTAGATTTCTTACTATTATGTCCAAACTCGTTCTGTCCCCGCAGAAGTCGGTTCTCACTCTTTATTAGCACTTTTGTGTCGTGACAGTGACACAAAAACTCCCATTTAGCAGTGTGTGTACTATACAGTAGAAACAACGGCGGTATTAATGTCTGTGTTTCAGACTCTTAACCGGTCCCTCCTCCCCGCCTCCGACAGCAACGCCAAATGCCAAGTCGCATCCTTCAAAATGACACAGAGGGGAGCACTGCCAAAATGCAACTATCCCATTAGTCTTAGAGAGAAACTGCTCCTCGCACTGACTCATGCCGTCGTCTCTACCAACCACTGGGAAACCGCCGCTGATTTCCCAAAAGCGAGCGTCGGAAAGAACGCCTTTTGTTATCGTAAGAGAATTTCAAATATGCCAAAAGATAAGGTATAAAGCGTCTGTTTCCAGCCCGTGATTGCGTCTCACTGCTGCGTGAACCCGTCCAACGTGTCACTCTGCATCTCCTTCCAAAAACAAAGCCCGGATTTATTACATCCTTAGATTTCAGCTGATGCCTCAATTTGGATCAGATGTGAACTTTTATAGTGATAGAACATATTGAATAGATGGAGCCATAAACAACTTCGGCGTTACTTTGTTGAGCAATCCCACTGAGACCAATTGGGCTCTTAAACAAACAAAAAAAAACAACAGTGGAGGGATGTCTGCCATAAAACTGTGAGCTCCGGGATCAGAGATCTCCTGGCTGATAATAACAACTGTTGGATGTGATTTTGATTGTTGATTGAGCAGCAGACAGTGTTAATGCTCAGTGTGTGCGACTTTAATGATCCCACTAATCATCTGTGTTTATTTTGCACCTCTCAGTCCCCATGTGAACGTCAAAGCAACACGATCTGATCTGCACTTAATCAGCAGGGTTTGAATGTAATTATCGTGCGCTATAGATCGTATAGGCAGCTCATCACTGGAGCGATTTAGTTTCAACCTGCTGCGGCTCTTCGTGCTTTGACATTTTAGACGAACTCACTTCCAGCATTTATGTGTTGTTCAGCGTGATTGCAGTCAGATTGAAGCTGTCGGCTGAGCGGGTGACCCATGAGCAGGGCTATAGTTAGCTTTAGTTCCTAACGCAGCGGTTGTGGGTTCAACTCCCTTTGCTGCAGGTCTGTCCCACCATTTCCTGTCTCTTTCTGCTGAAGGCAAAAAGGCCCAAAATATATATAACAGAAGGCCAGAAATTTCCCCTTAGATGATAAAGTGTTCACAACTTTTTTAAAAGATCAGACCAAACATTAAAGGCTGACCCTACCTTGACCTGAGAGGAGCTGGATTGAATCGATTAGTCTGAATTCAGTGCACATTCACTCCAGCATCTGTGAATAAGATAACTCCATTCATCTCACAAGCTGCAGCACTCGCATGTTCTGTGTCTTACTTTTCCCTGGAGAACGTTTCATTTCCTCAGTCTTTTTCCTTTCAGAGTTTCTCTGGCACACTTTAAGGACAGACCGACACAGACCTGCGTGCCTGTTTTATTTAGTTTTTTTTTTCCTTAGAAAGCTGCTCCTGAACCAGCGCTAGTCTATTACAGGAGAATGCTTCCTCCTGTGTCCTTGTGCTGAAGCTGCCGGATGAGAGTCTAATGCCTGTTGTTCAGGTGTAGTTAGAGCGTAATGATGTATCCACAGCCGACAGAAAGACAGAGAGATGGAGGATCAAAGCGGAGCCTCGGGGGCATCGCGCTGCTGCTGCTGCTGCTGCTGCTTGGAAATCAGACAGATGAGCAGCCAGCTGTGCGTCTCTCACATTCAAGGGCGACTGTGGGTTGAGGCGAAGCCGGTCGGATGGTGTTTCTTTTTCTTTTTGTCGCCCAGAACAATTGAAGGCTAGACTGATGGATTAAAAACAGGCCAGTAAGGGAGAAACACGCCATCGAACTGACCTTTGGCGAGAAATGAAGAAAATGAGAGACGTGTTTGACTTGGCTGTGTTTGACTTGGCTGTGGTTAACCAGACGTCTCATTTACACTCCCCGCCAATAGTTAGTTAGTTAGTTAGATGTTTCTTGTCCACCTAATACTCCCTTTTTTAATGTATGGGTGTTTTTTTTTTTCCCATTTTTACTTGTATAGAGTCAATTTTCTTCTTTTTTTTTTTTATAGAAAGCACAAATGAACAAATAAAAAAACGGTATTAGTGTTATTTATAGGATGAGGGGACCCATTTTGATCAGCTTTTTGTAAATGTTGTGTCACATTTTCATACAT